TATTGTGTAAAGACACAGTACTGACTGGAAACAACAAATAGAGAAAAAGTAATACACTGACCTATATGAGCGATATAGTCTAAAGTTGGTCACCTTTTCAATTCAGTTTGGTAGATATTTCTGTTCTGAAATCGATTCAAAATATACTACTGTGTCCGAAATGTTTCCAATAGACTATAGTCGAATATGGAAATACCGTATGTTACTATTTGACTGTCTACGAAAATGTGAGATAATGGCATCGAATGTATGTTCAATTTAGTCAAGCGTACAAAAATTAGGACTGAAAACAATTAATCATTGCCTGCGTTGAGAGTTCGCCAAGACTCTTCATCGTTCGAAGACTTGAGAGAGACATAATTGCCAATTTTGATGTCGGTCGAAGATCATCGAAATTATCAGTGTCGCACAGGACTCTAAGTCAAGTAAGTTAATAAATAATGAAAATCTGCTATCTCAACAATTTACAAAACATCTTAACTATTTGACAACGTACAGCTGTTGATACGAAGGATCGTAGTGCTCAAGAGTTCTACTTTTTAAAAAGATGTCAATTTTATTAGTAGCAGATAAGCATTTATCCAGAAAAAGGAATGTTCTGAATTGTTAAAATCGTGAATATCTCACGGAATATGGACTTTTGAAAAGCAAATCCATGCACTTGTCAATAACTAATTCTCTAGAATATGCAGTGGTAGTTTGTATTCTAGTTGTGCAGTTTGAAAAGTTCTTGTTTTCTGAAGTTGATAGAATAAAGTTCATCTTGAACTTCTTCAAATATTTCTATTCAACATTTAAAGATAAAAATCAAGCGAAAAAACAAAACATGAAATAGGCATAAAGCAATTTCATTAAAGTCGGATTGAATATAAAAAAAACATGCAAAACACCACTTCCAGATGTTGTCATTAATAAGATCTTCAAGGAGCGAGCATTGACAAGGATCTCTCGTGCAGTTATTGTAAAAAAGTTTATTTGCCTCATGAATCAGAAAATAAAACACAGATAAATTCCCTTTCTCTTGCAGAAAAAAGGGAGTCAAATTTCTCCATGATTAGTATAATAGTGGTATGATTCAAATACTTAGTCCACAGACATGGATATCAGTTAATTATATTACAAAAGTATCGCAGTTTCCACATTTTATCATAATTTTGACAGTGTGCTGTCCTTAACAGCAGCATCTCATTTGCGACGATGAATATCATTCATGGTAACCCATGCCAACAAAATCGCTTTACTTTTGGTGATTAATCGGCGATTCTGCAACAAATTTCAGCGACAAGTACTAATTTACAAAAATAAGTTGTTTTTCTTTTCTTTAAATCGTCTGTACATCTTGATGAACGGTAAGCATAAATTTGTAAATCTGTTTTAGTTCATTCCAACATCTCAATAAAGGGTAAGTATTATTCAATAAAAATAATGTTGTATTCCTTTATTGAGATCATTTAGTCATCATGATGAATGGGCAAGTGTCATTGTTAAGAATATGTTCTTTTCTTTTATTTCAATCGTCTCAATGTATCGTAAGTATTATTTTGTTTTATTTTATTTTGTTGTTTTATTTACTGCGAATGGAGAAACAACATCAAGTCTCTCATTCGCGAGTATGTTTGTGGATGTAGCATGAGCATTAGACAAATGCAAAGAGCAACACTGTTGTTATGATCTTAAGAGAAAAATATTGCAATTTGAATTAATTAATGTGAGATTAAAGTGAAGCCGTGTCCCTGAGTAATTTCAATATTCTTGTGTGACATTTTTCATACAGAAGCATGGTAGCTACTGTTAAGTTAATACAATATTGGATTGATTCAATAGTAGTCACCATTCGTCACTTTTACACGGTCGAGATAAGTCGCATCTTATTTTCGTCTGTTACGTATATTTCTTTGTTCAACTCGTCGAATTTATTTATTTAATTAATTACTTATATTACATTATTCTTGAAATTATTTTTGAAATTTAATTAAGTTAATTAGTTCCAGTCGACTCTACGAGTGGTTCGTCGTTAATTATGCCTAAAAAAAAAGGAGGAACTAATTTATTCAAACAAGGACAAATTGGTATTAATGGTGAAAATGTATATCAAGGTCAAACAGCAGTAGCTGATGCCCGAGAAACAATGGCGATGAGTCATAGTCCGAGAACAAAGGCCTCTGCTACAACAAAGACTTCTTCAGGAACAAAGGCTGGCCTGAAAAAGCAATCAAATTTTAGCATCGCTCCTCTAATTCTAGAGGGCGTTAAGCTAAATAAATTACAATTAAATGATGCTGTCAAACAGCATTTAAAGGACTTACGAATATCTGATATTCAGGTAAGTCGATCAGACCACTTTACAATATATTCAGCTGCTGTTAG